GAGTCCCAGCAAGTTCCTGTCAGCCAGCTGTCCTGGGGGACCCAACCCCTCTGAGCTGCTCTCCCGGGGGAAATCAGAGAGTACAGGAGACCTAGTAGGGGGAGCTGGAGTGGTCCCAGGGGAGGAGCAGAGGTGTTTATCTGTCCAGGCCCAAACCTCAGGCTGGGCTTCAAAGCCCTCGGAGGTCAGGTCCCTAACAACAGAAGGACCCGCAGTGACCTCCTTTCTCCTTCAGCCTCTGTAGCCCTCTGAGTCCCAAAGACCGTCTGGCCCTCACACTGACTCCCAGGTTCACTGAGCCGGGTAGACCTGTTTCTGTCCTGCTGAGGGCAGAGACCAAGTTGGGCATTTCTTTTGTGCATCCCACAGAATTTCCCCCAATATATTCTCATGGATCGAGATGAATGAGTTGAGTGTGTTCCAACAACAGAGAAAACTGGCTGCACTCTCAGTAGCAAAAGGGACATCCCATAAGGGAGGGGGGCACTTAAGAAGAGGAAGCCCCATGAAGCAGAAAACAGGAGGCTCAGCTGACTAGGACAGATGGACCGGACATCTGAGAGGAGGAGGGACATGGGTGACATAACCTCTAGAAGGGCGGGCCAGCTTGGTAGGGCAGCCTTGGTGGCAGCCTCCTATGTCTCCCTCCCTCGAGGCTTTGAGACTAGGGCAGGGAGGGGCAGGACCGGGCGTGTCCCTTTCACTTGGTACCTGGTGTGTAGATGGAGATGTCAGGTGCCCAGGTTTGCTCAGAAAAGCGAAGGGACACAGCTCCTCCCAGACAGCAGTCCGGATCACCCACCCCATTCCTGTCCTCCAGCCTCACAAGAACCCTGGGCCGCCCACTCCCGCCTGGGTCACCCTTCCTGCCCTGGACCAGGCCCGTGTGTGCACACACGCACACTCATACCCTTGCACAAGGACACACACTGCACATGGCTAACTGAACAACTCCACAGCGTCCTCTGTTCCTCAGGCCTGAGGCCAGGAGCCCGGTATGTGTGCGTGTGACAGAGTTCGCCTCTACTCCGGGGCTCAACAGGAATTATTTTGGGAATTATCTGCTGTTTGTGTGAGATGGTCTTATTTATGCAAGTCTAGACCTAGAACTGATTTCCGGAGACGCACGGTGGGTCAGGATCTCTTCCAGTGCCTGGCACATTGTAAAAGCTCCCTAGGAAACAGTCTGCTGAATGAATGAATGAGTGAGTGAGTGAGTGAGTGAGTGAGTGAGTGAGTGAGTGAAAATGAATTAACGGAGACCACTGTCTAGCCAAGTCAACTGTAAGGGAGGACAACCAGGGCTAGGAAACTAACGTTGACAGGACACCTAAGAGGAACCAGGCACAGGGCCAAGCCCTCGGTGTATGGTTTCCATTTTAGAGAAGAGGAAATTGAGGCTCAGCAGTAAACAACTGCCCAAAGGGCAGTACCCACAGGCTGCATGTCTGGCCCCCGAGGCCTGCCCCTTCCTCCTACACCATGAAGCTTCAACTACATAGTTACGGTCAACACACGCTTACTGAGCTTCTGACAGGACTGTGTGCTGGCTGGGCACTGGGGGGCCAGGACAATGACAAAGATGAGAGACACGGTCCTGTTCTCTAAGGTCCCAATGGGGAGAGATACGCCACCTACACACCTTTCTGGTCCTAACGCAGAGAGTGGAGGAGGGGAGTCCCCTAAACAAAGGAGGCCACCAGCCTCTGGGAACAAGGAAAGGACTCATTAAAACCCTGCCCCAGAACCTGGCCCTCCAAGGTGCCCACCTTCGGGGCCTTCTGCTGCCTGGACACTCTGGTGGTCCCTGCTGTGGGTGGACACGCCCCACACCGTCCGCAGGCACACACTCCCACGTGTGTACCGGTGCCACAGACCTAAGCGAGCTCAGGCACGTCCTGCCCTGCGGGGGCCAGGTTCACGGTGGCCTCTGCCTTGGACCTCTAGCAGGGAGCATGAACGCACCCAGGGAGCTGGTTTGTCCTTGTTGGACCAACGAGGTGGGTGCAGCAGGGCCCCGCCGTCTCCCCTACCCCATGCCTTTGTCTACCCCTTCCTAGCCAGCTGTCCCCCTCCCCACTCTCACCCACTTGTTTCTGTCCTTTGTTTTCCTCCCTGGCCAAATCCCCAAGGCTTCCTTGGTCATTAACCTCCTGCTTTAATTAGCTTAGTGGGGAGGAAAGTAGAAGCAGGGCAAATTCAGGGGTGGGTGTCTAGGGGTAAAATCTCATTTGGGTGGGGACAGGAAGGCTCCGACCAACTGGTGACAAAAATGCCTGGCACACAGTAAGTCCTATGCAACTGTTTGCTATTTCTATTAATGTGAAAAACAGTCGCCTGGTCCACAGAGTAAGAACCTTCTCCCAATGAGAGCCCCGTGGTCCCCAGTACCACAGCTCCCCCAAGGCAGGGTCCTGGGGCAGAAGGAGGGGGACAAGAGTAGGGAACAGCCCACTCCCACAGGGCCTTGTCTCTCCATTTCTTCCTCTCCCACTCTTGCTTGGAGGTGGTAGGACCCAATCACATAGTAAGGTTTGTTGTTAATCTTATGTTAAGTCCCTGATCCAGGGGGCACCCCTCCCAACTCAGGGGCCTTCCGTGGTTCATGGCTCCCCCTCCCTGAATCTTCTGCCTAGCTTAGGAGCAAGAGCCCCACAGTGTGCCAAGCCCCAACCCACCCTAAGAGCCTCCACTCTGGCTCCCACCCTGCCACTGGTGTGCAAATTTACTCTCTCCACCAACCAGTCTAGGGAACCTGGGCTTCACATACGTGCCAGGTCTATGAGGTCATCGCATCTGTTCCCCTACCTCCAAGCAGGACTTTACCTCACAAACTAGTTTTGTTTCCAAGTGCTCCAGAAAAGGACACCTTACCAGTGTAGCTCACCCACCCATTCTTATAAAACTCTTTTGTAAAGTTCTTCTTCAAGTCTGACCTCCAGCCCTCATGCTGCAGTGCCATCCTTTCTCCTCTTGGGAAAGACTCAGGCATAAAAAGTGAGAAAAGAAATGCCGAAGATATGGGGTAAAGGGAGAAGAAAAGGTTGCATTACACTCCAACTTCGCCGAACTCCCTCTAAAAGTGTCCAAGTGTCCAAGTCATGCCTTAAAAACTTATTTTCACTTTCACCAAATTTCCAGAGTCGAAGGAGCTGAATTAATGGGTTTTCAATGAGGGAGAGAGGTGGGGGAGTGGAATGATGGTGGGGGCTCACGAACAGATGGCCCCCGAGCTGTATGCATGGCCCGGGCCTGAAGGAAGTCTGGGTCTCCCATCGATCCCGTCTCTCCTTCCTCCTTCTGTAGCACCCAAAGCTCATGGCCCTCATCCCAAACTGTTCGGTCACATCCCACCTTTAAGACTTTCCCTGCCTCCCCACTTTCGGTCTCCCACGTCTCTCCTATCCCCCCCGCACCCCTTCATCCTTCCCACCTCCATCGCTCTCCAGTCCTCCCGGCTTCCCCGCCACTGATCAGAAGGCCGTGAACTAACTCACCTCCCAGTCGGTGCCTCTCAGATCTCCGAGACTGGGGGGCGGGTGGGGAGGAGGGGAGACGGCTTGCCGCTTGGGGGTGAGGGGACCCCGTCTTTTGCCTGGGGGTCCCACCCTCCAGCCCGGCACCCCATCCTGGCCCCCACTGCGCGCAGAGCCGGGTTCTCCCCGCATCGCGGCTGCGGGCTTTGTCTGCTCTGCGGAGAGCCTCTCCCCGCGGCCCGGAGCCGGATCGACTCTGGGAGAGCGGGAGGGGGAGCGGAGAGGCAGCGCGGCAGGGAGGGGGAGCGGGGAGAGAGAAAGCCGCAGTGACCCAGCCGGGACCGCTCCCCGCCCTCTCGTCCCCCCTCATTACCATAAGAAAGAGGGACCCGAGACGGGCCGGGATCGCGAGGGAGCCCGTCTTGGGAGGGGGACGCCCTCCATTAGCCTTTTTTTCAACCGTTGCGTTTCTGGACACTAAGTCCTCTCCCCGTGCCCGCCCCGGGGGAAAAATTAGGGACCTAGACTTTCTTCCCACCCCCCCAGCTTTGCCTCCGAGCCCGCGGGTCAAGACCGAAGGCACATCCCTATCCTCCTCGGGTCAAGGAATGCGTCCCCGCGCCCCCGAGGGCGGGGAACTACAACTCCCGGCATGCCGCGGGCGCCCCCGGCGCGCCCCCCTCCCGTCAGTTCCATGCTGCTCCATCCAGTTCATTTAAAACAAAAGAGTTTGAGCGCTGGAAGGGGCTGGGCTCTATTGGGGGCCACGGAGCGCCGCTCCTGGACTGGGGCTCGGTGCGGGAGCCTAAGGGGGGGCGTCTGGACGGCGGGGTCTAGAGACTCCCGGGTCCGAGGCGGGAGGGGTGGGGGCAGAGATCCCGCAGCCCCCCGCCCCCCGTCACCCCCGGAGAGGAGAGGAGATCTGCTTTCTCGGTTCTGCTTCTCTTTCCCCCCACCCCCACCCCGGGGGCTGGGGCGAGGGGAGTCGGGTTACAGGGTGTTTGGGGAGGGGGGCTTAGGGGGAGGGTCTATCTTTCTATCTCGCTTTCTTCCCCCCTCCCCAGTTCTTTGTTCCCCCCTCCCCACACACCCCCTCCTCTCCCCTCCCCTCC